AGTGAGGAGAGTGAGGACAGTGTGGACAGTGAGGACAGTGAGGACAGTGAGGACCCAAACAGCTTCTTGCATCAGAGGACCAGAGCATGATGGCTTGCCACTGGGCCTCTGAGTTCTTAATCCCCATTGGCTGTGAGTAGTGTTAATTTTAACCCAGAATGGAATAAAAACTAATGACAACCATGTAGCCAACTTGTGAACTAAAAAAGTCATGAGCCAGGCAGCACACGGCATTTGAAAACTGCCAAGTCTTAACTACCAACCAGAATTTGATGGCTTGCCCTTCGTGGGCTCTGGTGTGTCAGTATTCCTGGATACGTGCTTTTCCCTTGACCGTTTCTTCTGTTATTTTCACTCTGCCAAGCTGACTCTCATCCTGAACTCTAACCTCTCCTACTTGCTATTAAAACTGCCCAGCATTTCATCCACAATGTATATGAGAAATCAAAGCCCATTATTTTATTAGTACAGAATTTGCATTTGTTTCGTAATTGAACTATTTCTGCCATTCTCAATCTAAAAGCTCATTTACCATGATACCACCTCCTTTTACCCATACAGAGCTTTCAAAGCTCCTGACTGACATATACTTCTGAACTACATTTAAGAACGGTTCTCATTATAGTTTCGCTTTTCCCTCCATCTTATGCGTCATTTATAAGACTTCTACATAAAACTATGACAAATGAAACTATTGTGAACTGTAGACCTTATAGTGACACTGCTCTGTACAAACCATTGCTTTGATTTTGACCATTGTCCTCCTTTATTTCTGACTCAACATTTAAAATAGTTTTTATCTTTTAGAGATTTGTACAATTTTTGGAAGTCCAAGTGCATTTCCTTTGTCCATATAATAGTTTTCCTTTCAAAAAATGAAATCTATAATTCAAATTTGTCAAGATGAAAAAAATGATAAAGTTATATTTCTATGTAATATCCTTGAAGGATTTTTGCCTTTGTCATTTTTAAGCTGAGAATGTCTTTTGGCAGTACCATCCCTTGAACTCAGGACTTCATGCTTGGAAGTCAGGCGCTCTGCCACTTGAGCTATGTCTCCAGCCATACGTTTTTTGAATGAATAAATACAGGTGGAAATCAACATGGAATTAAAAAACCTAAGTTGTTTTTAGATCTTTTATGTATCTCTAGCTTACACCTCACTTGTCATTTCTAGGTTTATATATCAAGCTCTTAGACATCTTTGGAATTATAACAGACACCTCAGGTATAACATGCCTAACCTGAACTCATTATTTCCTTCACATCTTATCTTTTTACTTGTCCCAAGTTAAAACATTAGAAGCGTATTTTCAAATCTCCAAATACCATCTATAACCATGTCTTTTTGCTTGTTTTGTTTGAAGGCGTTATTCTATTTACCCATATAATTATGTCTTTACTCTGACACCAGCTTGGATCATACTCCATTCATATCACACATCTATTGTGAATTCATCATCTACAGGAATCTTTTAAAAATGCAGTAAGTTTTCAAAATATTGCTTGTATTAGGTCTAAATTCCACATATGTGAGAAAACGTGGCCTTTGGCTTTCTGAGTCTAGCTAACTTCACTTGATATGATGTTCTCTAGTTCCATCCATTTACCTGCCAATGACAAAACTTCATTCTTCTTTTATGACTGAATAGAATGTCATTGTGTATGAATTCCACATTTTCTTAATCCATTCATCAGTATTGGACATCTTAGCTGTTTCCATAGCTTAGCTATTATGAATAATGCTGCAATAAACACGAGTGTACAGGTAACCTGAATTAACATTTCTTCTGGTATATCCCTAGGACTGGTATTCCTGGGTTACATACAAGAGAGGGAGGGTAAAAGGAAGATGCTAAGAAGGTGAACATGGTTAATACACTTCCTATACAAGAATGAATATAGAGTGTTTAGGCCTGTTGAAATCACCATAAGAAGGGGACTAAGGTAGAAAGGAAAAAAATAAAGGAGATGAACCAATTCAGGTTATAGTACATATATACATGGAAATGTCACAAAAAAACTCCCTGCATAGCTATCTTACACAAAACAAAAATGTCATTTTTTTTTTTTTTTACAAAATTGGAGAACAGGAGGGCTGTTCAGGTCCTGTTTGGGAGATTGGTACCAGTGTAAGGAGGGAGGATGTGGGTAAAGTGTGTAAGAGGGTGAACAGGTGGCAAATATTGTGTACTCATATATGTAAATGGAAAAATTAGACCCTTTGAAACTATTGTAGGAATAAGGGGAAGGAGGAATAAAGGAGAATGACAGAGGGGCTGAATTCAACTATGATGTATTTTAAGAACTTTTGCAAATGTCACAATGCACATCCACACAACACAGCAATAAAAAAACACAGTGAGTTCATGACAACTCACTCCACTTTTCACAATAATTTCAACAACTTCCCTTTGCATATTGTGTGTGTGTGTGTGTGCATATGTGTGTGTGTGTGTGTGCACGCATGTGTGGGTGTGGGTGTGCATGTGTGTGCATGTGTGTGTGCACGTGCAGTGCTGGAGTGAAACTCAGGGCCTCATTCATGCTAAGCCAGTATTCTACCACTGAGGTAAGCCCTTCAGCCCCTTTACATTGCATTCAAACCCCTGACCAAGCTGTGTGAGCTGCATCTGATTTCTTCTCCATTGTCAGCACATAACACTATCTGTATTTGTTCACTATCTGTATTTCAGCCACGCTCTCCTCATTTTTTTTCTTATCTTTATACTTGCAGATCTTTTTACCACTTTTCAGATCTCAAACTTAATGTCCTTCAAGCACAGGCTGTTCCTCTCCCACATCTTTGTGTGGCTTGCTGGATCCTTATCTTTCAGATCTTAACACAAATGTCACTTTCTTAAATTTGCCTCTGGTTGGTTACACTGTCACATCACCCTGTTTACTTCCTTTGCTGCTTATATCGAACCCTAAAATTATTTCATTTATCTATTTTATTGGTTAGTATTCCTATTACCGAAGAGAATATATGCTCCATGTGGATGAGAAATCCTTTGTGTCTCAATTAATTCTGTGTGTTCAGCCTCTAAAATGTAGCCTAGGCAATAATCAGAAATAAGTAAATACTTATTAAGGGAATTAATTCATCAATTTCTAAAAATTAAGCTTCTCTGAGTTCAGTATTCATATGGCTTATGTGTTTTCCTAAATGTCAAACAATATAAATAAACAGAATAATACAACTTTAGTAGATTTGCAATCTAGGATTACTATTTAATTGCATGTATGTTTCATGTAAGTTGATTATTTTGACTTGTAAAAAATAATCATTTTTAAACTAAAAAAGGGAAAGTAAGAATTTCAAATAAATTTGCTTTAATTTTCAAGACACTAAATCTGAATGTTAAAAGCAAATTCAATTTGAATTTAGATGTTAAATTGGGCACTGGTGGCACATGCCTGTAATCCTAGCTATTCAGGAGGCAGAGATCAGGAGGATCGCAGTTCAAAGCCAATCCCGGGCAAATAGTTCATGAGACCCTATCTTGAAAAATCCCAACATGAAAGGGTTGGTGGAGTGGCTCAAGGTGTAGGCCCTGAGTTCCAGCCCCAGTATTGCAAAAACAAAACAAAAACAAACAAGAAACAAAACTTGAATGCTGAATTTGAAAGCATGATTTGTTTTTCTAAAAGTGTAGCACCAAGTGATGTATCTACTACATTTTTTAAGTGGATCAATTTAATTTAATTATGATATTTTAAGTAGCTATATTTTTAATCTTGGTGGCTGTACTGGAAAAGGTCAATTCAAATTTTTCTATGAATTCTTTAGCTTTTCCTCACAAGATTTTGTAAACACTATATCTGGTTTTATGTGTTCTTAGGTATTATTTTGTTGAGGTTCAAACATCACAATTAACTATTCCTGATATTTATTTTCTTCAGCTTTAAAATCAAATAATTTGTTTTGAAGAAGTACTGGTGTTTTAATATCTTAAACTAATTTAAGAATTTTAAGTCAACATACAATAGAAATGCATGTTTATCCATATTTATTCACAATGACCAAGTTATGGAATCAGCCTCGTGCCATCAACAGATAAACTGACAAAAACAGCAGCATATAGGCTCAATTGAGTATTATATAGCTATAAAGAACAAAATTACATCATTTGTAGGCAAATGGATGAAATTGGATATTATCATGTGAAATAAGCCAGACTCAAAAAGAAAAATTCCACATTTTTTCTTGAAAGCAGGATCTAGATTCATAGATACAAATAAGTAAAAAGACATGAACTTACATGGCAGATATTTCACTGGGGAGACAAGGAAGGCCGATGAGGAGTAAATAAGATCAAAGTGTAGGACACACATATGTGGAAACATGATAATGAAACCCATTATTTTGTACGATAAATTTAAAACAATGAAGTACAGATGTGTTAGTATGTTAAACTAATTTAATAATTTTAAGAAAATATGAGACAGGTGCCACCAAAGAGCCACAATCAACTGTTCTCTGAGAACATTGCTATTTTTGCTGAAGGTAAATATAGCTCTTTTTGACTTATTCATCCTGAAGAATTATATTTGCCATATATAAACATCTGAATTTTGCACAAAAATGTCTATGAAATGAATTATATCAGTTACATAGTTGAAAACACTTCTAAATATACTTTTCATTATGCATTTGCTATACTAGGAATGTTGATATCTGCTTCCTTTTAATTGGAGGCAAAATCACAAACATTGTTATAAAGACATGAGAAAAATGAAGCACTATGACAAATGTGATCCCTAAAGACCCTCAAAATAATTTTTTAGATTATCAGTTTTGACATTGTCAAAATGCAAATTATAAGTGAAAAACACAATATGTTTTGGTAGAACAATATGGATAACATCAGTAAAAGGCTGGGATATTTAAATTACAAGCTATTTTAATGTTTTCATTAATGTTATATTTACATTAATATACAATATTAATCATATATATGCATTAATTATTATTATATAATAATTAATAATTATAATTATATGCATAATATATAATATACATAACTTTGTACAGTCTAAAAACATGAACAAATTGACTTTTGAAACATATCTACCCTTACGGTTGA